AAACTCCAGCCCGGGGCACAAAGGAGTGTTCCAGTTTGTACTCCGGGTAGGAGAGATACGAGACATCAGCCGGAGAGGACACCTGCGTCTCGGTCAGAAAGAGCAGAGCCGGCCTCGCCGTCTCGAAATGGTAGTGGACGGCGTTTAGGTTAGAGTGAAGTCCCCTGATATTGCAGAAATTCACGGACAGCGTGGCAGGGGTCGCCTTGGTCTTGTTGCTCCGTTTGCCCCGAGCAGTTGTAGTCTTGAGCGGAATTTTGCCCCCCCCCCCCCCCCAGAATACGCGGGGTAGCTTGAGCACCCACGCTCAGTCGTGGATTCTCAGCGAGGGATTCTCCAGGGGTGCTGGTACCCTCCTGGGGTAGTCGATCATTATTTAATTCCGCTACCATGTTGATGGGGGGGGGGGATTTGGGCCTCCGGCCACCTGCACTCACCAGACGAAACGCGGAAGCAGAGCTTCCACTTCACGCCGGTATTCTGTGAGGTCGTGGTACCACCCCGGTTTGAGCCGGCCCATACGTGCAACAGCAAAGCTGCCGCGTGGCTCTACCACTGTTAAAGTACTGTTAGAGACTGTCTACATTTCCGACCTGACAGATCAAGACTGGCAAAAGTGTTTTCAGAGTTGGTTTAGGCGAATGGAACTTTGTAAGTATAGAGTATGATGGAGAATATTTTGAAAAAATGTAAAATAAACATAAATAGTGTCCAGAGTACTTTTTTATATTAAACACTTATTGAGTGTCCTACGTACTCTAATGGCCCTCTTCTGTAAAATGTACCCAATACCCACCATGCTAAATAAATGGGTGGGTTGTTGTGGACCACTACTGTTGCTTGTCTTCACTAGTCTGAAATTTGAATTTAGTGTATTTGTATGTATAGATATTGTTCTAAAATTAAGATACCTATACTACAGGTGCATCGTGACTTATGACTGTTTGTGGCGCACGATTGGTTCGGCTCGGTCGGTCGGTCAGGATTTATCTATTTTATAATCATTATTCTTTTTATTGCATAAAAGTCAGCTTTAGTTTTTTTTTAAGTTTCATCATTACAGCCCTTCACAAGTCCACTGTTGAACATAAGCCTCCACCAGGGAATGCCACAAAGCACGGTCCTGAACCACCTGTATCCATTGACTTACTGCATATCTTACCAGGTAGTCACTCCATCTAGTGGGGGTCGCCCTACACTTCGCCTACCGGTGCGAAGCTGCCACTCGAAAACCTTTTTCCCCCCACGGTTGTCGGTTCTTCGAGCTATATGGCCGGCCTATTGCCACTTCAGCTTACTAATCCGTTGGGCTTTGTTTCTACTGCACTCTGGTTCTACTGCGGATATCCACATTTCTAATTTTATCACTCAGAGAAACACCGAGCATAGCCCTCTCCATAGCTCTCTGAGTGACCTTGAGCGTTAAAAAGTTTATCTTTTAAATATTTTTTCAGTTGCTCATCCATTGCACATTTTTTAAAATTATTTATTGATATTAGTAAGTTCTATCTGTAAATGCAGCTGTATTGGGAGTAGACATCGTTTCCTCAACCTAAATATGATTAATGGGTTAGGTAAATCTTTAAAAAAATATTTCGTTTTTTCGAAACATTTATATGAAGAAGGGAACTGTAAATTTTTGACAATAATATAAGAAGAGTAATATCTTAAAGAATGTTTCTTGTTTAAATATAAGCACACGTAATATTATATTTTTAAATTAGGATTAAAAAAGTTCACTTAGGAAATTGAATTTTTACCTGAAATCTTCTTTACTTTATAATCGACTGTAAAAATATTTCTATTTGCATTCTAGCTGTTGTCACAGTAGTGAACGATGGTTTTTAAATTTTCCGTGATGAAAATAGGGTACGCGTAACAACGTTGTAAAATTTTTGGCCTTATTCCAAAAAATTATATGGAAGATTCAACGAAGCAGTTACATTGTTGTATGAGATTATTTATCTTTTTTTTTTGTAAAAAAAATGAGATCAAATACTATAAAGATCTTACGTTCTTATTTAATAGTTATCCTTTATGATTGCGTACGAGAAGCTCAATTGTAACGTTACAAGAAATTTAAATAAATTCTTTTTATTGAATAACGATGACGGGCGAGCACGCAATCCACCTGATGATAAGTGGATAATGTGGCTCATAGCCATGTAAATCATTTATCTTCGATTAAGAATCAAAATGCAGATGCATTGGCACCCCTGAGGACTAAGATGGAACAAGGGCTAGATTAACACCTATTCTGCTCTCCTGTCCGGCGAGCAGTTTGGCGAATGACTCTGGGAGCGAGCGCAGGTCGTGTTGAAAACCTCAGGGCAAGTCTGAGTAGTTCTTCCTTCACGCGGTTGCCTTTCTATTGAACCAGACCAAATAACGCTAAATTTGGTCTGGTTCAATAGGAATCAGAGAAAACAGAAACAATCAGACGATTTTCTTTTTCTTTTCTTTTATCTCACTCTCTGTTTACTACCTTAACCCAATCCAAGGTGTCAAGCGTACCATTCCGATGAATGCATGGCTGGAGGAATGTTTAGACAACTCAGTCAGTCAACTACAGAGGGGCGTCAATATCCTTCTTCCCTATCTGATGAAAATCTTCAGAGCAAATTTTGCATGGGGATATATTCCAGAACGCTGGACAATTGTCAAAGTTCTATTTATACCTAAGGCTGGTAGAAAGGACTACGCTTTACTGAAGTCCTTTAGACTTATAAGCCTATATTCCTTTCTTCTTGAGACATTGGAGAAGGTTATAGATAGATATATAAGGAATGTAGCTCCAGCTACGAGGTCAATACATTATAACAAGTATGCTTACTGCAGGGGAAAATCTACGGAAACAGCCCTGATCAGTGTTATTGACAGGGTCGTAAAAGCACTGGAGGATAAAGAAATAGCTTTTTGTGCCTCTCTAGATATTGAAGGTGCTTTCGACAGTAGTTCAATACCATTTCTGATTAGGGGCCTGACATCTAAATATCAACATTTTTCCCCACAACCATAAGGTGGGTGAAGTGGATTTCACTGTTTCAAACTTTGATTGAAGTTGCAACTACAGGAGACTGCCCACAAGGTGTTTTGTCACCCCTTCTTTGGACTCTTGCGATTGACCAACTATTGTACAAGATGCCAGACCTACGCATTGACACACTGGGTTATGCTGATGACCTTGCTGATCATTGCGAGAGGCTTTTGCCAAAGTACAATATCGTCAATCATACAAGGAGCTCTAAACACCATAAATAACTGGTGTAGGAATAACATTTTACAGTTAATGCTGACAAAACTGTTATAATACTGTTTACCAAAAAGAGACAGTTGGACAAATTAGTTACACACAAACTCAGTGGTAAAGAAGTACCATTTTCTATTGTAGTTAAGTACTTGGGCGTAACAATCGACCAAAAACTAACGTGGAACGCTCGCCTTAGCAACGTAGATACGTTAAGGCAAAAATTGCTTTAGGTACGTGCAGTCATTTGGCCAGGAACAACTGGGGCTTGCGTCCAAGTATTGTCCTGTGGCTGTACAGCTGCATAGTGAGGCCGATTCTCACCTAAGACTCAGCTGTTTGGTGCAACAAAAGCCAACCAAAAGACAACTGCGGACAGACTAAATAATCTAAAAAAGACTGTCTGCTTAATGGCAATTGCAGCTATGCGATCATCGCCTGGAGCAGTTCTTAATGCACTTCTAGGCTTAACGCCTCTTGATCTCTATCTAGGCAAGGAGGCGAAGGCTAGTTTTTATAGGATTAACGTCCAGGGCGGTTAAGCTTGCTCTCATACAAATTGAGATTCATTCCCGACTCAATTAAGGAAACACTCTTCTAAGATATAATCCGTTCATTATATACTTTTGATAAAAAGTTCACTATACACTTATGCTAAAAAGTGTATAGTGGAACGATCTTCCTGAGAAAACTGCTTGAACGGCCACGTTGTCTTTGAGGTCGGTATCCTCACATGGTATACCGATAGGTCAAAAATTGGCCTCAATGTAGGCTTCGGAATTTATGGGGAGCGCCCCGTATTCAAACTTAGCATGAATTGGGGTAGATTCACCTCTATCTTCCAGGCAGAAATTTTCATTATACGTTCGGAAATCAATCTGAAAAAATACTACGTCAATCATGTAATTTATGTAAATTCTGATAGTCAACCAGCACTGCTAAGATCTGGTCTGCCACATGAATTAAAACATTCTATATTATATCTACATTATAGGGACATCTTGGTATTAAACAACTCAAGGATGTGTGAGCTCTGTTCCATAATGGAAAAAACGCCTCTGCACAACTGATTACGGACCTTTAATGAGCAAACTTAACACTCATCTGGGAAACTATGTTCTCCACAAAGAAGAACTCAAATTGCTCACGGCTAAGCAACTCCGTCTATTCATTAGAGATATGGGGCTTAGAAGTGACAATAGATCTTTTAGGTCGCAGTAATACTGGTCTCTTTCCCTAGATCTATGTACATAGCTGTTCACACCAAATAAAAAAAGTTTGGACTAAATGTTTTAAAGCGAATTAAAGTATTCAGTTTTGATTCAGTTCTATTACATTCTTATCGCGCAACTATAATCGAAACAAAGTTTTATTAAATGTTTTTGATTACAAAAACAGCGAACATGACAGCATTAAAAAAATTTAAAATATAAGAAATAGTCAAAAATATGAAACACAACCGCAATCGTGTCACATAACATGCATAAATATTTTTTTTAAATGGTGTTTTTGCACGTTTTATAATACTGAATATAATACTTATTTATATGCAATGATTCGCCATTAAATCAGCGTATTAAGGACTGCTTTACGTGGATACGTAATAACGTGGCAAAGCAGTGATGTTTTTACAAAAATAAAACAAAATTTTTAAAATAATTTTGTATTTAAATTAATAACAATGTATCTAAGATGACCATAATCATACTAACGGATTTATAAATAAAACAAATCAAAAGTGCTTTCTTACTGACTATACGTAGACTTTTTCTATATTATCATATGTGTCAAAAGAATTATTAAAAAGAAAATCATACACAGTTGGAGTACTTTTTTTTTGTATCGTTGATATATCTTTTTCTGATAACATATTTTCTTGCTGTTTATCGCTTATTTTGTTGAGTCCTGCAATAAGAGGTGTTTGTTGATTTTCGAAATCCTGTCGCTTTTTAATTGTTTTCTCAAAATTTGTTTCCTCGGAGCTTTTATTGTAAATCGTTTTATCTAAATCATAATAATTTTTATTTGATTCCCTTTTTATTTGTTCTGATATGTTGGCACTTTTTTTATTTTTAGTGATGTCAACATTATATTTTGCTTCTCGATCTTTCGATATATCTTGTTTGCCTTTATTGTAACCACCTCTTTTTGCTAAATACTCGTCTTTTTTGCTGTATGGCCTTTTTGATTTATAATCAAAAGATTCTTTTTTCATTGTAAAATCTGGTCTGGCAGCTACTTTCAATTTTCTGATTGGTTCTTTAAACTCATTTTTTAATATTTTACTGGGGTCAGCAAGTTCATTGTTTGTTTCGTCACCAATAGCCTTATTACTTATTGTATCCTTATTGTTTTTCATTGCACCTGTACTATTTTGTAATCCTTGAATTTTGAGAATATTTTGTATACTTTTGTCAGAATCTTGTTCTACTAAATTCTTATTGTATTTTACATATTTATTATCTTTTTTCGACTTAAAATCGAAAGGTTCCTTTAACATCGTAAAATCTGGTCGTATGGAACTTCTTAAAGGTTTGACTTGTTCATCAATTTCGCTACTCGTCCACTTAGCACCGTAATCTACATTTTCGTAGTTTGATTCTTGTTTATTTACTGCTTTATTTCCACCTTTGTGTGTAATCGAAATATCTTGTAAAATTGCATTTGGGAGCTCGAGAAGTTGACTTATGTCAGTTTTTACATCTAAAGGAAAACCTGGTGTTGACATAGCGTCTAAATTGTATTCTATATTACCAAAACGTCCACTAGTTGATGGTCTTATATATGGTGCTATGAAAATAAATATTTGAAAAGGCAATCCATCTCCTGCACCCTTAGGAAGCACTAAACGTTGTGGAAATCCTGTCTGTAATCCTATCATTTTTAGAGGTACTGAATTTATTCCAAACTCGGCATCATCCAATCTTTTCTTTATAACTTTTAATGATGTTAAGTCTTCAGACAGATGATTCATTTCGTTGGAAGTTCTAGTTATTATATTTTTACCTTTCTTTAGGTTAATTTCAAAACAATCAAGTAAAAAGAATAAATTTTTCTTATTGCCGAGTTCACCGGGTAGAACTTTTGGTCCGATAAATATTTTTGTAAATCCCTTTTGCGTAACCAGGGACGAAATGTTAAGTTTTATTGAAAATGGTTTGTGGTTTAACCTATATTGCCCAACCTTGACTTGAAATTTTACGTTGTTTGTGCCTGTTTTAAGAGCATCTGTCACATCAAACTCGAAATATTCAAAGGATGTCATCAATTTTTTTATATCTACGTTAACGATTTCTACTCCCGGAAAAATTAAATCGTTTCGTAAATAACCAGGTAAATCACTTAAAACGCGTTCTACTAGATCTATTATTTTCTTGTTTATTTTCCAGAATATAGGATCTCGTACTACAGTTAAGTAATGGGCTAATACTGAGGGAGACCTGTAAATTAATTCAAATATCATAATCTAAGCGTATATTAGATAATTGAATAATCTATGTGAAAGTAGCTTAATAATTAAGCAATCGAATAGAAACAGATAAAGTATTGAATGCGCTATATGACTTGATTCACACTACAGGCTTGATTCACCCCTTGCACAGGGCTTTTTTAGGTATTGTCTTAATTATATTTTCTGATAGATGGTATGTGAATATACTTTAAAAATAACAAGTTTTTGGACAAATTTCCACTTGAAAAGGTTAAAATATACATATGATTTTATGACCATTACATTTTATGATTTGGAACTTACTTTTGTTCAGAAGTAAAATCATTTCCAAGTATTTTGAAAGCTACATTTTCATAACTGTTTTTGTTTGTTACCAAAATTTGCATTAGGTGATTTATAATGTCTACCTTACTATATCCTTTTTCCTTCTGTAAAGATATCAAATTTATTATTATACAAAAAATACATCTAAATATTACAATTTAATATTGTTGATGAATACGAGTACATACCATGCGATTAGCGATCGTAACTATATTATTTTCAATACTTTGCAGAAACGCCACATCTTCGTTACTACCTGAAATTGCTGGCGAGCTTGGTTTGAAATCGTTTCCATTAGAGTAAATTAACATTGGATCATAACGATTAGTTAACGATAACGAATCCCAACTCAAATCTTCCAATTCTGGTAAACCGTTTGAGTATCTTTCTAAATTATATCTTGTTGCGAGTTGTTTCATTATATGATAAATATGTTCACCAAATTTAGGTCGCAAGCCCAAAGAAGTATTAAGCCATGGAGACATGTTTAGTTTTTGTAAGAAATAAAATGTATTGAGACCTATATCTTCATGAAAATATGATAAGCCTTCGTCACTAGATTCATACGAGTTTTGAGAATAATTTGCATTTATAATATACGAATTTCCTTCCTCGCGAACGTTTTCCAAATTAACTATTTCTTCATTTGCTAATAATAAGGAACCTTTGATAATAACATCTCTGTTAATAAAATAATTAGGAAGTATTTCATACGGAGGTGGAATTGAAATTTTTTCAGTATCTTTTCTGTTCAAAATGGCAAGGTAAATAGCATCAACGTAAACACCGCAGTTAATATTTTGACGCGCCCAAGCTGCTGCTTTATAAAACGTATTAAAATCTTTGGCAAAGTATAAGACCTCAAAAATTAACTTTAGTTCGTTGATATGGTCTTCATTATATTCTGTAAAAATTTCACTTTTCGGCGTAAAACCTTTTCCATTTTTGTAGTTTTGAAGATTACTAATTATTTCCGAATTCTGTAAGAAATAATAAACGATTTGAAGGCGATTCAAATATTTTTTTTTGTAAATTACTAAATAATAAAATACTTACTAAGTAATTTTCAGATACAAAATCCTTTTCGAAGTCATTGCTTAAATTTATGATACCTTGATCAGTGCTGGTTTCGCATACATTTTCAAATAAAGGCACCAGAAGTTTTTGAATATAAATCCACTCAAGTTGTGGCATTGTACCTTTAAAAAATTAAAAGTAAAATTCTTATTTTCGGGGATCAATAAAAAAGAAGATTAAATCATTGTAATTACCAATATTCTTAACGTCATAATGATAACGTATGTTAGATAAATCGAACGTGGTAGGTGTAAAATAACTAACATCGGGTTTTGACAACTTTTGGATACTAACGTTGATTACTTACTATTACATACGATTAAAATGAATAATTAATCTCTATGGGTACAGTTTTTAAGAATATTAATTGCAAATAAAGTTAGCGTATAAACAGCAAGATCATATCAGTTGAGAAGAAAGTTAATGAAAATTGTGAACAGAAGTTAAATTTTTATACGTAGTAGAGTCATGCTGCAGTATATTAGTAGTATAGTTGTAGCACGAATGGGTTGGCTCGACCGGGGAAAGACCACGCTCCCACAGAATATCTGCGTAAAATAGTATCTTAATGCAGCTGTGTTTCGTATGGTGAGTGTAGAGAACCGGCGGCCTTTTTTACTGGAAACGAGGTATTCCATCTTAGTCGTCACACGGGTGACAACGCATCTGCATTTTGATATGTAATCGAGGATAGATGTAGATGTCTATGGGACACAGCAACTACTTAACATCAGGTGGACTGTGTGCTCGTTTGTCACCCTATCTTTAAAAAAAAATCATTCAAATAAATCTAAACGGCAACGAAAGTTTAGCTATTGGCCACATTGGAGAAAGATCAACAACAGTAGAAACATTTATATAATTGTTGAGTATGGAGAAGAGAATATCATTTTTAACCAAACTGTTACCTTTATATCTTAAGCCACTCTAATATCGTCTGTAACTAAATATTGATGGCACTTGTGGTGTGTGATGTGATGAGCTATAGATCGGAGAATTCTACATTAAAAAGGGTCTATAACTGTTAAGATTAGTGGGATTGGAAGAAGGAATGTTATATAATACATGTTTAAAGATTGGTGAGAATGAAAATAGATGTAAACGTTAGGTTGTTGATGTCATTTCAGATCTTGTTTGGAACCGTTGGGAATAAGAGAGAGTTGATAGAAGGTAACAAAACAGAAGATGGGTAGAAGAAGCGTTATTTATAACTACAAATAAAAATTGCGGTTGATGTGCCCGCTTATTGTAGTAACTATAGCAAATATCTCTATGAAGCCATCTATGTGGGAGGCCTATCAGCAGTGGATTTCTGATACTGACTGTCACGATAATATCACCATAATTTTGCGTCATAATGCTGCTATATTGCATAATTTGTTCATTATGACACATAAAAAGATGGTAAAATACCGCCTGAGGTATAGTTGTGACCTGTAGTATTCAGTAACAAATCATATTAGAGCAGATTTGATGTAGTGCTGATACATGTATCAAGTATTTTAGATGTAAAACACCAAACTAGCTTCGTAAATCCGCTTGCTAAGATAAGGCAAATGTTCATCACGACTGAAAAAAGCTTACGTTAAGCCATAGACCGTTTATAAGGTGATGCAAATAAAATATTTTTTTAAGTAAAAAATGTATAAGAAAACTGAGATTGAATATTTTATCCCATTTCAGTTATACCTAACTTATAACAATTATTTCATTTTATTAAAAGTAATAATATTATTTAATACCTGATTTAGATTGCCACGATGTAGTAGGGACCTTTATAAGATACCCTGTCGTCCCAATGGACAATGTAACTATTGTTAGTAACGTTAACTTGAACATCTTTACTACACTGGTGCATTCTACCATTTCTTTCAATATATATACTTGTTCAAAGGGCAAAGAATTTATTAACTGTCATTTAAAATTGAAAGATAAGCAGACAAAGTTTAATGCACTAAATTATTTGTTATGACTAATAATGTAATATTTCAATAACATCAAAAGTATAAGCGTTCATTAATCCAAGTTAAATGACCTTTCCCTTATTCTGTAATTTCAAAGTATATTCGTAATATGCGTAATATATATTACAATATGAATGTTATACTTCGTAATAAATTTTAAATACATAACTTACACATACATACACAGGCTATATATATATATTGAGCCGTGGTAACTCAGATGATTAACGCTCGCTGTAAATATAACAGAACGCGAGTAACCCGGGTTCGATCCCTGCCGGCACCAATGAAATTGTTAATTGCAATTTTAAGTGCTCATTTACCACGTGCTCGGCGGAGAAGGAAAACATCGTGAGGAAACCTGCATGTCTGAGGAATAAGAAAAAAAATATTTCGAAGACATTCGAAGTTCGCCAACACGCATTGGGGCAGCGCGGCGGACACTTCCTTGCCCTTAAAACCCTCTCAGAAATGAGTGGAGGCCTGTGCTCAGCAGTGAGACCTGTAACTTTACTTTTACATATTTATATATATATATACATATATATATATATATATATATATATATTTATTATTTTATATATATATATACATATACATATATAATAGGATTATGAACAAAAATAATTAATAATTAAAGTTCATCAATCACTCAATTACGGTTCACAGGTGTTGCAAGGGGCGATAATGAGAGATGCGAGAAAGTTTTTATGTTTTTAATTTGTTTACTCCAGACACAAAATACTGAGACTGTCGACAAGCAGCAGCGTTAAAGATATAAAATGCTTGGAACAAATAACGTCAATGACGATTAAGGCTAATCCTCCTTGCAAAGGCTCTCTATCTAGCGGTCGACTTATGAGGGGTGATGAAGATGAATATTGGAATCTTATTTCTAGCAGGAATTTTTATTGTAGATGAAGAAGAATGGTAAAAAAGAAATAGCTTTTTTGGGAAATTATGACTAGCAAACTCGTTACATTTAAAGAATATAATAAGAATTATGTTTTGAATTCATTTGTACAAAGAAATTTCAGAAATAGTTTTCTCCGGAATAAGTTCCTAAAACCTCAGCTACAAAAACATGTTTCGTTTCCAAAGCTATTTGTTAACAACAAGAATTTGTTAAAAGACTTTCCTTAACTATTATGACGATATATTAATGACGCATACGGATTTAGCTAAGTGTTAATCAAATGCATTAGTTCCTTTAATAAACGTATGATCTTGCTAGAGGTGTTAAATTATAACAGTGAATGTTATTTTTTTTTGTAGTAGAGTACGGAATTCATTATTTCATCACGTACCGTGAGTGTAGTAGTCAACTAGAAGTTTAGAAGATGCTGTAAACTTCGATAGCTAGCTTCCATAGATAGGATAACAGAAGAAATAGCTTACATATTCCAGATATGGTAGATCGCGCCACGAAGTAACATATAAAAACTCCGTCTCATATTCATTCTAAGGTAAAGCGCACCGAAACAAGGCTTACTTTCTTGTATGACCTTTGAAAGGAGAAAATTGAAACCCCCCTTTCTGAGTCCGTTACGTGAAGGCCATGGGCAAGGTAAAAGGAATCGAAAGCAGCACCCGTGCCGATCCCATCGACGGATCTGGTCCATTGCTTCTCCACTGACCTCGATTCAATCGCGGAGGACGAATGAAGTATCCTCATACCATCAATCTGGGCAGAGAAAAAGAACCCTCCCAGTTCGGATACGTATGGCCTGTATAAACCTGCTTGGATTGGCTCCCTCGCATCAGCCATGTTCCTTTGTCCGACATTCAAAGTAACCAAACCGTTGCTATTATGGAAAACCTCGTCCAACAATATGAGTTTTTTGGTCCGATTATGATAGAATAGAATCATTTTTATTCAATTTTGATTACATGTAATTCTTATTGAAAGTCATTTTTTACTTTTATCACTGGTTCTGAAAAAAACCTCTGTCCTGGGAGGAACCAGCAAGGAACCCAGCGGGACTTTTTTTTTAAAGATTACAATATAATAATTATACAATTATTATGAAAACTTTTAGAAATAGTATGGTAGCTATTTATGTAGCTATTTATCATGGTAGCTCATAATTATCAAATTCAAAAGCGCCATGAGCCTTTTTGTATTATAACGATCATTACCTCTGTCACTTTTTTATCTATAAAGAGCTTTCAAAAATGAGGACTTACATGAATCCCTTTATTAATTTTCTCATACTTGTTCTTTTTAAATTGATAAACGTCTATACCAGTGGTTTCAAATTTACGTATGGCCTAATTTATCTCGCTACTTATATTAGTAACTTTATATTATAAGATAATATTAGACAGTTTTATAAATTCACTGGATAAGATAAAAAATTTGATAACATCGACGGGGAACAGATACTTGTAATTTTTCATTATTTGAATAAGTTTATACGATTTTATTTCACCAAGCATTTTTGACCAATTCAGCTACAATACCATATTCATGACATTACGGTCTCATTAACCACATTAATGAAAACACTGTAATAATTACCAAATTATATTTGAGATGTTTAGTAGTAGTGATAGTTATTTAGCATTCAGACACAAAACATATACTAAAATTATTGGTGCACACTGAGCTTGACTATACAGGTTAATTAATCAATGAGATAGATAATCATCAAGCCTTAACAAAATAGGGTATTTTACCCATTTTCAAAAATTGTTTTAAATGAATCCTAGTGTGATAATGAACCACTATAAAAATTGTAGTTATAATAATTATATTATTTAATTTTTTAAAACCGAATAGTGCCTTAAAATTACTTCTAATCTATCGTTTTCAGTTTTCGCGTGAAAACGCCATGTTGTTCAACTCGTGACGTCACAGTCGTCGATTCTGCCTATTTTGCAAAGGAATGATATACTTTTTAATGTTTAATAAAGAGTTATCATCTATATCATTAGTGTGTTGTGTCCGAATGCAAAAATACGAGCATAAGAACGCCGGGAAAGTTATTGATTAAAGTGCCGACTTATTTAGTTATGAGAAGTACTTAGTTAAAATTGGCAAGAAGAGACCCCAAGGCATTCTCTACAAAATCTAAACTATACTTCTGTGAAGATAAATTATATATAAGTATGATTTATATTTAACTATCGTTTAATACAATAGAAAACATC